TCACATTAGCCACAGAGGAAGTGGTGGGAATATTGAAATGTGATATACCCCAAAAGAGGAACTGAACTGCATAGTGGCTGGGCTGGAGAGTTGGGACCTGAAAGGTCCAGAGAGGGCAAAAACACTGTTTCCAGGGAGGGAGCCCTGGGGAATACAACCCCTCACTGGGGCTGGGACTCTTTAAAAACTGCAGACTTAGACTTTACTGTTAAACTCAGAAGGGGGTTTATTTTGTAGAAAGAGCACAGCCTGTGTATGACTTGGATGGAAGGCTGAGTCACCGAAACTGCTTGAGAAACTACTGAGAGGCATCACCCCAGACTGAGCAAGGTGCAGCTGCACACCCGGGCAGACAGTGTTTGTGAGAGGTGGATTTCCTCATGTTACAGTCACCTCTTTCTGAAGGGAATGCCTCTTTCATCCTTTGTTTCATGCATAGCGCAAGTCACAGTTGCTTTGTATTTCAGGTGGATCAGCTGGGCGTTCTTGAGATGCCCACAGTACTTAGACTTCACATAAAGCTCTTAGGGTACGTATCTGCTTTGAGCTGCAGGTGTAATTCCCAGGCAAAGGAGACATACCCATGTCAGCTCTAATCAAAACAGAGTGTAGTCACAGTGGCATGAATGGCAGGAGAAGCTAGCTAAATATCCCGCGCTTCATTAGCATGTTCCTGGGTGGTCGCCATTTTGGAAACTCACTAGCTCGGAATAACTGCCCGCGTCTACACGCAGCAGTGAAACGGGAGTTCAAAGTAAACCCCTTAACTCAAATGAGCTGTTAAACCTAATTCCACGAGGAGTAACAGCTTATTCGAATTATGGGTTTACTTCAAACTCCCATTTCACTGTGGCGTGTAGACGCGGGCAGTTATTCCAGGCTAGTCAGTTTCCAAAATGGCGATCGCCTGGGAACATGCTAATGAAGCGCGGGATATTTAAATCCCACGCTTCATTTGCAATTGCAGTCGCCCTCATTAGCCTCCCTAGTTCGAACTAGGGGGCTAGTGTAGACGTACCCCCAGTACTGAATCCTCATTGGATGCCCGTTTGTAGAGAAAAGGGAGTGGAAGACCCCAGCCCTCTTTCTAATGATCGTCACTGGTTGTAAGTCTGTTACACTGAGGTTCTGGAGAGACAATACCATAAAGGAAAAAGAAAAGTACTTACCAGTAACGCTGTACTCTTAATGCACGGTCTTTTGCAAATGCACAAAGGGTGGGCTAATGGTTAGTGTGTTGATTTGGGAGCTGTAGATTCCTGTGACAAACGCTTCCCTACCGCACAGGGGTATTGTGAGGCTACATACATTAAAGATAGTAAAACATTCAAACCAATTGGCACCACAGAAATACCTTAGTTAGAAACCCCCTAACTATCCTTCTGCCTCAGAGAGTTAAAGGAAATGTTTAGAGCAGAGAGGAATGGAGAGATAGTTCAGGGCAAGACTTTGCCAGTGCCAGAATATTGAATTAAAGGGATATCCATGCAGAATCACAGTATTCATGCCAAAGCTACTCCTCTTAGGGCTTGTCTACACTACAGAGAAGATCAGAGAGGTAGCTGTGTTAGTCTGAATCTGCAAAAGTGACGAGGAGTCCTGTGTGGCACCTTATAGACTAACAGATTTATTGGAGCATAAGCATCTGAAGAAGTGGGTCTTTGCCCCCGAAAGCTTGTGCTCCAATAAATCTTTTAGTCTGTAAGGGTATGTCTACACTAGCCCCCTAGTTCGAACTAGGGAGGCTAATGTAGGCATTCGAAGTTGCAAATGAAGACTGGGATTTAAATATCCTGCGCTTGATTTGCATCTTCCCATCCGGTCGCCATTTTTAAATTCCACTAGTCAGAAGTAACTGCCCGTGGCTACATGTGGCAGTGAAATGGCAATTTGAACTAAGTCCTTAGTTCGAATTAACTGTTACTTCTCATGGAATACTCTAATTTGAACTAAGGACTTAGTTCAAATTGCCGTTGCACTGCTGCATGTAGCTGCAGGCAGTTACTTCAGACTAGTGGAATTTAAAAATGGCGACCGGATGGGAAGATGCAAATCAAGTGCGGGATATTTAAATCCCGGGCTTCATTTGCAACTTCGAATACCTATATTAGCCTCCCTAGTTCGAACTAGGGGTCTAGTGTAGACATACCCTAAGGTGCCACACAGGACTCTGCGTCGCTTTTACAGAGAAGATGGAAGCTGCTGCAGCCAATCTTCTGAGGTTCAAATTAGCAGGTCTAGTGAAGACACGCTAATTTGAACGGAGAGAGTGCTCCTGTTGACATCGGTAATCCTGCTCCTCTGAGGAGTAAGGAAAGTCGATGAGAGTGTGTGCTTCTGTCCACCTCCCACTGCGTGGCCAGCGCCAAAATGTGATTTAAGATACTTCAATTCCAGCTACATAATGGAGTTGCATATCCTAAGTTGACTTTCTCCTTTAGTATAGACCAGGCTTGCACATACTGCTTCTAAGACAATACTCATACCATCACAGTGTCTCTGATAGCATGTATTAAAATTCAGTCCTAAACTCCAAAATGAGTTTATGTAAAACTATATGTCCTTACGCCAAAGAACTGCTCCCTAATGGTTTACTACATTTGAAATGTTGCCACTTGACTTGCATGGCAAAGTGCAGTGGTTATAATTGGGCCTACAAATTTACCCTACTTGTAAGTTCAACTATGCTTCACACTACCTTCTCCAGTGGCTGGCAGGAGAACGTGGATACTATACTCAGTCTCAGCCCAGCAACTCTGTAACTAGCAGCCAATGAGTGCTTCATCTACCTCTTTGCTGCCGCCACCGTGGGCTTCTTCCTGCTCAGTCTTTTTGAGGCTCTCTTCTCCTCAGCCTCTCCAGGATCAGCCTTCTCTCAGAGATGGGACTTGAGGCCCTTCCCTCAGATCCCTGAATAAAATCAAAATCCCAAACCAAAGGCACAAACTCAAGCCAACTTCCACCCTTGCAGGACCAGCCAGCAGGGCTGACAGCCACTATGGCCCCTAGGTAAGGGGTGTGTGTGTGTGGGAAGGGGAACTCAGGCAGAAGGGATGGGGAAAGCCAGCCCTTAGCAGCACCAGGATTGCAGCACACTCCCCCCGGCCTCAGAGCCCCACAGAGCGTGAAACGGCAGCAATTTAAAGGGCCCAGAGCACTGGCAGGTAGGGCTGTGTCTACATTGGCAAGATTTTGCCGCCTATCTATACTGGCCATGAGTTCTTGTGCAAGAACACTGAGGTCTAATGTAAGAAATCAGTGCTTCTTGCACAAGAACTATGATACTCCCGCTTAGGGATAAGCCCTCTTGCGCAATTGTTCTTGCACAAGAGGCCAGTGTAGACAGGCAACATGAATTTCTTGCGCAAGAAAGCCCGATGGCTAAAATGGCTGTCGGAACTTTCTTGCTCAAGAAAGCGTCTACACTAGCACGGATGCTTTTGCACAAAAGCACATCTCTTGCGCAAAAGCACATTCCAGTGCAGACGCTCTCTTGCGCAAATACTTTTAACGCAAAAACTCTTGCGTTAAAAGTATTTGCGCAAAATCTTGCCAATGTAGACGTAGCCTAGCTGCGGTAGTGACTGGGAGCACCAGGTGCCTTAGAACTGTTGGGCCTCAGGGCAACTGCCCTTTTTGCCCTCCCTGTCACACGGCCTGGGGCCAGCATTTTATGCCTCTTAAAATTCCCCTTGTTTCTTCAACCTGCTCTCCCCTGGCCTATCAGACTTCTTGATTGAGGAGCAGAACCCAGACCTTTGTTATCCCTACTCTCTCTAGTCCCAGAGAATGACTGCAGCCTCTTCTTGCTCTCCACTTTCTTTATAATCCTCTGACAGCCCCTTCCCCAGCTGGGTTTCATAGTCATTTAAGTCTGGTGTGCCATCCAGGTGCAGGCCAGTATGTTAATTGGCCTGCCAGGGCCACATTAATCCTTTCACACACACCATCACTGGCTCCTTTGAAAAAAGACAGTGGGGAGGGGAACAACCTGAGGACTCTTGAAACAACTTTTGGCTGGGAGATGGGTAAACTGGAAGGTGTGAACTTTACCATCAAGGCTGCTGCTTTTACTATTTTCTGGATCTGTCTTAATACCACTGTAGCTCATCAACTTGTCACTTCCTGCCACTTGTGTGTCCTTTCCCTTCCCCACCTTCGTTTGCCTCTCCCGTATTTCTCTCTCCCCCTTTGCTTTGATAAGAATCTGCCTTAGATGGCCAAGAGAGTATATGTGGCAGAGCTGCTGTAAGCTTGTGACCAAAGAGGCAGGTAAAAGCAACACCCTAAACAGCCTGATGCCGGTACAAGTTGCTAGGTCTCAGAGTGGCTGATAAAACCGTGTGCCATGCCTGTGTTTTTCCAGCAATGAGGTTGTAAAGAATGTTCTCTGTAAGGTGTGTGCGTATGCAGCTGCTGAGGAGAGATTCAAATGCCACCCAGCTGATCAGCAGAGCACCCACCGCTAGGTTTTGCTTCTACTAGTGGAGCACAGTTGCACGTGCTTCAGTGCACATTAAAACATTTATTCTGCACATGGGCGGGAAAAAATCCACACATGGATGGAAAAGATAAGGGGAGAACATTCAACACTAGAGACCGAAGCTGCATTTTCTATCTTTGTTGTTTTTCTCTTCCCTCTTCTTTGTCTTTTATCTACTGGGAAATGGGATTGTACTTTAACAGCATTAACAAAAACAACAGCTCTAGCCATTCTAATGTCTCTTTTCCCTAAAAGGACTGTGACTACTATCTTTAATAACATCTGCACGGCTGTCAGTGGAGGGAGATTGGGAGCTTCTTTCTAAAACCTACAGCTAAAGGGAATAAAGATTGCTGTTAAAACAAAAGCTTTAAATGTTTTCTGTGTCTTTAAAAAGGTTCAAAAGTCTGTGTGTGTGTGTGAGGGGGGGGGGGGAAGGGGCGGTTTAATGATGAGTTTGCCAGTGTACTGAGCAAGCAAGGGCTCTGTTCACCAATGAAATCCTGAACTTTGTTTATCATTGTTCAATGTTGGACAGTAGCAGGGTCGTGATAATGGCTTTGATTCTTTGGGATCCTATATAGTCCATACAACAGCACACAGTTTCTGCTGAAACAAATATAGTCACATAAGTTACTGTTATATAACTTTTCTTTGGAAGGCCAAATTATGCTTTTGCGTATATGTGCACATGCCTAATTTCTTCAAATTTGGCCCTTTTGACTCTGATGTATTCAATGATAATTGAAGACAGGCTTTCACCCTAACAACTCTTTTGATGAAGCACATGTCAGCATAGAAACCAGCTCTCTTTTTCCTACCTGTACTGGGTGGGTGTGTCTAGACTGGCAAGATTTTGCGCAAAAGCAGCTGCTTTTGCGCAAAAACTTGCCAGCTGTCTACACTGGCCGCTTGAATTTGCGCAAGAACACTGACTTTGCAAAGTACAAAAACAGTGCTTCTTGTGTAAATACTTTCATGCTCCCGCTCGGGAAAAAGCCCTCTTGCGCAAGAATACTTGTGCAAGAGGGCCAGTGTAGACAGGGAAGAACTGTTTTGCGCAAAAAAGCCCCGATGGCTAAAATGGCGATCGGGGCTTTCTTGCGCAAAATCGCAACTAGACTGGCCACGGATGCTTTTGAACAAAAGCACTTTTTGTGCAAAAGCATCCGTGCCAATCTAGATGCACTTTTGTGGAAATACTTTTAACAGACAAACTTTTCCGTTAAAAGTATTTCTGCAAAATCATGCCAGTCTAGACGCAGCCGGCGTGTAGTGAGAACTTCTGTTTGAGTCTAAAGTAAACAATTTTGTCTCTGACTACACACAGGCAGATCTCATGTGCAAGGAGGTGTCATTTTGACATAGTTGCTTTTGGAGTCTTGAATGCACATTAACACATGCTATCAGGTGCTGACATAAGCTCTTATGGAATGTGTGTTGTAGCATGAATGACATGGGTGAGAGGAATAGTGGGGTAATGAGCAGTAATGACTGGTGGTGCCTGTGGGGAGAAAGGGCAGCAGGGAGGGTGAACAGAGAAGTGGCATGTGGGGGTGCTCCATTTAGCTATTAAAATTTTAACAGGGGCATAGGGAGGCAGTTCACTTCCTGAGTAGTAGCATGAGTCATTGATGGCAACCACTGTTGTATTACTGGCCTACAGGCTCCACTCGTCAGAGACCATGAGCAAAGCATCTGCAGTGGTATCTATCTACACAGTTCTTATTCTCCGCTGTTTTTGTTGGTTTGCTTAGTGCTCTGTATGTATTTATTCTGGAGGGAAGTAATGTGCCAACAGGAAGAAAATTCCCTCCATCTTGCCATCCTCAGCAGGCTTCCCCATTGTTCTGAAAACAAGATGAGCAGGAGATTTTGGCTGATGAGAACTAATTGACTTACAAAGAGTTATAGATATATGGTTTGGCCTTAATTCCAGCTAGGGAGATGGCCCTAAAAGAACTAGTGTCCTCTTACTGAAGACACTAAGGTAGAATGCTGTTGTTTAGAGCAGGGAAAGTAAGTCATATTTTCTAATCTGACTGTGGGCAATTCATGTGGCCCAGCTGTACAAGAGCATCATGAAAATTTTCTAACCAAAATCTACTCACACACCCTTCACATTAAAGGCTGATGATAACGCCAAAAAACTAATGGGCTGTGTCTAGACTGCATCCCTTTTCCGTAAAAGGGATGCAAATCAGACACATCGCAGTTGAAAATGAAGCGGGGATTTAAATCCCCCCCACTTCATTTGCATAAAAATGGCTGCCGCTTTTTTCCTGCTCGGAGCATTGTTGGAAAAAAGCGCCAGTCTAGATGTGGATCTTTCGGAAAATAAAGCCTTTTCTGAAAGATCCCTTATTTCTCTATGAAATAAGGGTTAAGGGATCTTTCGGAAAAGGCTTTATTTTCCGCAAGATCAGCGTCTAGACTAGCGCTTTTTTCCGGCAAAGCTCCGTGCGGAAAAAAAACGGCAGCCATTTTTATGCTAATGAAGCGGGGGAGATTTAAATCCCCGCTTCATTAGCAATTGCGATACGTCTAATTTACATCCCTTTTACGAAAAAGGAATGTAGTCTAGACGTAGCCCTATTGTCCTCAGTTCTGTCATCTCCAGAATAAAAGAAAATTATTTCATGATCAGGTTCAGATGGTTTTTTCCTTACCATAAAAAGGCCTGGGCTAATTTAAGCTGGTGGAGTTTTTGTTTTGTTTTAAGTTCAGTAAAACAACACTTGCCTGAGAAGTTGGAGACTACAGTTTAGAGTGCACAATGATTTATTTATTACTGTTATTTAGGGAAATGTGCAGCAGTTTCCAGTTCTGAATATTTAACCGTATGTAGAAAAAATAAGTTGCTCTGAAATGCCTTTCATTTTAGTGCATTAATATAACCAGCACATCCCAGTCAGAATTCACTTAGAGCAGAGAACTACACTAGCCTAGCTAGCTTACACTGCACACAGTGATCCCATTATTGAGAATGACACTTCAGCTACATCTACACTGTAGGCTTGTTGCGCAAAAATGGCTGTTCTTGTGCAAAAACTTGTGGAGCATCTACACTGCACACGTGTTCTTGTGCAAGTACATTTACATTACAGCGTCAGAAAAGAGGGCTTCTTGCGCAAGAGTTATTCCTCTCCCCACGAGGAATAAGCCCTTTTGCGCAAGAGCTCTTGCGCAAGAAGGCAGTGTGGACAGGCAACAGGGGTTTCTTGCTCAAGAAACCCCTAAGGCTAAAATGGCCATCAGAGCTTTCTTGCTCAAGAGAGCGTCCACACTGCCATGGATGCTCTTGCACAAAAGAACATGGCAGTGTGGACATGTTCCTGCACAAGATGTCCTTGCACAAGAAGCCGCCAGTGTAGACATAGCCCCGATGTGTTCTTAACCTGACACATGGTAAGTAACAGGAGGTAATATTCTAGTGAAGACAAGGTAGTTAATAGTTTTTTATGTGAGTTAGTGAGTCAAGGTAAACCCTAGATTTTCCCACTCAACCTGTTAATATATGTGAAAATTGCAAACTGCCTAGTCTTCACTGAGATTTTACTTCATGTTGGTTAACTCACATTAAGAACACACCTTTTTTCAAGTGAAGATGCACCTTTAGTTTATCCTTCTATAAACAGTGGTCAGATACAGAGTTCAACATCACACCTTGATCTGAATTTACCTTAAATTAGGTGATATTCAGATCCAGTGGATTGATTCTGACCCCATTTCCAGTATTGAATCAGCCCCAAGTGCTATCACAAAATAATGGCTCTTACGAAAAACCCACACATTTTCATGACACTATTCTCACCTATGGCCAGTTTTGAGCAGGAGGATGTATGTAAAGATAGAAGAAATGGTAAAGAGAAATTATTATAGAAAGACTCGATTGCTTTCCCTCCTAACAGTCCATATTGCAGGTAGATATTCCAGCTGCCACTTTACAATCTGTGTTAATCAGCGGAAGTCATGAAACTGAGGGTCAGGAATGCAATAGCACAATCAAGCTGCAGCACTCATCCTGAAACCCTTTTGGGTATTAGATTCATTTTTCTGAAAAACACCTTTTGAATATTTGAGAAAATAAATATTAAACAATGAAAGCCCTAATGATAGGTTATGGATTTGTATTTCTCTGGCAAGCCAGTTACAGCACATGGTGATATGAGACTATAACTTAATTTGGTTCAATGTGACATGCAGCTGGGTGGTATCTACTATAAGAGTTAGGATTTGCAGGCCCTGGATATGTGCGAACTGAATACTCTATAGAGGAAGTGGGTTTTTCTTCAGTGGATGGAGTAATCTAAGGGATAAATGGATCACCAGTGCCTGTTCTATACGAGACCCCCTAAAAAGGCACTCTTTGGCATGCAAGGGCAGTGGGTAACGTAGGCAAAAGAAGGCATTGTTTTCCCAAAACTGCCTACACTCTGTGCCGGCTGCTGGGGAGGCCTGGGTCCATAGTGAGCCAGCCTGGTTCCCTGGCTGCCTGGGAGGTTGGGGCTGTGGCACAGTAATTCCGCTCTCTGGCCAACCAGGAAGTATTGGGCTGCTGCGTGACTGTCCCAGGTGCTCTGGCCACCCGGGAAGGGTGGGGCATGCCACCTGCTGGGTCTGGGAGCAGTGACCTGAGAGGAGGGCTGGGCTTGACTCCTCTGGGGAGGAGGTTGTGAAAAGAATGGGGCTTTGGGCAGAAGGGGGCGGGGCCTCGGGCTTGCCTTCCCCATCTGGGCCTTCAGCCATGTTGGCACATTTACACTGCAACTGCCCACATGCCTTCCAATCTAGGCAGAGAGATATGTGCTTGAGCTAACACAATAACATAGCATTATTGAGCTGCTCTAGCATAAGCCCACTCAACCCACTGGGTCTACTTAGGTGGCTAACACATGCCCGTCCTCACACATGCCACAATGTCCACACTGCTACTTTTAGTGTGCTAGCTTCAGTGACCATAGCATGTGTCTGTTTATCTAGGCTGGGGGGCAAGCTCCTAACTGCAATGTCATCATGCCCTTAGACTATAGCTTTTGCAGAGAAAGGACTGCCACTTATGATGTTTGTATAGTGCAGTGCCTAGCACCATGTGGCTCAGCTTGATGGCGGCCTTTAGTCCCCACCTCATTATTGGTGTTCAGTGATCATGGTTGTTACGGTTAATAAACAGAAACGGTGGGAAAAATATGATCTGCCACCTGATATTCAGTCTGTCATTCCCCCTTCCTTTCAAATGGTAATAGTGGCTCCAAAAGGTGGGAGGGGGTCATAGGATGCAATGTTTATGCAAACCATTTACTGGGGTCCGATGGAGCATTGCATGCTGGAGCTTACCAATTTCTTCATCTTAAAGCTTTGGATGGTTGCAGTTTGCTCCATTTTCAGCAAACTAATTGCATTCCCCCACTTGCTATAAAGTTGCTCAAGAGGGATGACCACAAATGGGCAAAGCAGGATCCTCTGACCCATAGGAAATATTTCACTTTGCTACCAGGAATGAGAGTGCATTAGTACCCGGTTATTAGGCAGACACTAAAGGAAAAGCATTTTTATAGATTACCCAGAACAGGAATTCTATAAGTCCCCCTGCTGATTCTTCCCATGCTGGTGGTTTCTTCTTAAGAGATTCAGTGGTTTACGTGGATGGAGACAACAATTTGATTATCGCCTTTAAAATGTGTCATAAAACTGTATTAACAAAACAGCAAATACATTACACAAAGTCCTTAATCACAGGATGTTTACATAATGCCCACTGTGGACAAGTACTAAAGACCACAAAAGCCCTGAGACCCCCAGAAAGTCCATGAGTTCTGGCTTTCTCAAGCTGCTGAAGTAGCATGCTTGTATCCTTAGATTTCTGCTTCAGCAGCATGAACTTTGCTAGCAGTTATTGCAATTCCTATAGCCAGGCTTCCATTATCAGAGAAGAGCTGGGCCAGAGAGGTGTTCAGGACAAGGCAATCACCATCTGATATGACAGAGTCAATACACTCCAGTACCGATCTCGGGGTAGCTTCCCACTTCAGGCGCCTCTGATTCCGGTTGAGCTCGAGCCGATAGGTGAAATTATCGGCTTTTGGTGGGGGGGGGGGCTAGCACG